TAGAATGCACGTTATCATTGTGACATGTAGACGATTCATTACTTTAAAGCTTATATCATTTACATGTAGATCATGAAGAGTGTAGTAATGTTTGTATATAGAAAACCCACAAATAAATGACCTACTGCTTCAATACCACTTGAATGCTAAAAATTCTCAACAGCTCATGTTAATTTAACCAGCCCCAGGGCCAGACATGATTCAATACATGCATAAATGCATACAAAAGCAAGTCGTCTTTGAGTTTGTGGTCTCTGTGGTCAGAATTGGCGAATTTGGCACCAATGCAGATGTTAAACAGGTGCTTGACTCAAAATATCTCTCACCTGGATTTCCTTCCACTCCAAGTCGGTCTCCTATTCTTTACAGTCCTGATCCGGCTGACAGCAATCCGAGCAGGAAATGTTCTGCAAAGCTAGTAGCTGCGCCCCCTATCAAATCAGGGCTGCGTTAAGATCAATCACAATCACGGCATCAAAATCAACGCCCACGCAGCAGCCACACCCGTGCACTCGAACTGCGCGCGCATCCATGATATTTTTTGCCTCACCATTCATTTTATAGTTTGTTTTACTTTATTTTTGATTATGATGATAAAACCTGCTATCTCTCTTATACTTGTTTTCCTGGTCGTTGGACTGTATGCTTCAAGTGATGGGAATAGCTCTAGCTTTAATACTACAATAGACTGCGGCTCTTGTCCAGCTAGCTGTAACTGTGATGTAGAAGGGTCCATCCATTGCACTGAAAAAGGTCTTACTGCAATTCCTCCTGGACTGATATACTGCGAAAGACCTCATGTGACAATTCTGTAAGGCAAAATAAATGACTAATGAAAATATTACTTTTGTTTTTTTTTCTAGTAATGTTAGTTTTAATTTGATACAAAATATCTCTGTTGATGATTTCAATGGACTGCCAAACCTAGAGAGATTGTAAATTAATTATAATTTATTATTAATAATGCATCATGCATATAAATATAATAACAGGTTTCTTTATGACAATCTCATTGATGATATTGAAGACTATGCATTTTTTGATCTAAGCTCATTGGAATTACTGTCAGTTTATACAACATGCATGTGATGTATGTGTTATGTCACTCTCTCCAGGTCCCTTGATGGAAACAGATTAACTACACTTAAACCTAATGTCTTTATGGGATTGACTGGCTTGAAATCATTGTAAGCAATCATTGTTAAAAATTGTCACATATTATGAACAATAGACGTGTAAAATATGCTATTTTTTAAGAATCTTATTCAACCTCAAGGTGCTAAACATCTTTTTCATGCCTCAAGGTTTACTAAGACACTGAATTACAATTTTTCCAGCAAATTTATTTGCCAACTGAATTATATGCAATAGGGGCTATTAATTCTGTCATATAGGCTATTGTATTCCAATTCGATATCAAGTCTACCTGTTGGAGTGTTTGATGATTTGAATTCTCTCATTGTGCTGTAAGTTATAGGATTAACTATACTTTTTCTATTATGAAGATGTTTCTATTAGTGCGCTTCATAATAATCGTTTGACTAGCCTGGATCCTCAATTGTTTGCATATTTACCCAATCTTCAAAGGCTGTAAGCTGTATTGCATACATTACTCAAGCTCCCTTGTAAAAATTGTGTGATAAAATTTTATTTTTCTCTTATAGCTATCTTTATGGAAATAGTATAAGAGACTTGTCTGACTCTCCCTTTCAGCACCTGAGCAAGCTTACCCTTTTGTATGCATAAACTTCATAACACTTTATTGTGTTATTTTAACCTTCCATAGATATTTTAGCAGCAATAATATCATTGAGCTGACTAATGCTAGTCTAGCTGGTTTGAATGGCCTACGAACTCTGTAAGGCACTGACATAATACTACAATACTTATTTACTGATGTATGTATTATACTATAATAGTGTTCTCAGAACCAATCAGATAAGGACCTTGTCTCATGATGTTTTCATTCACACTCCTTCCCTCACTTCATTGTATGTAGTACATTAAAACAAGTAGCACTCATTACATAATCTTTCTATGCATTAGGTATTTAGACAGCAATCGAATCAGAAGGATTTCAAGTGATGTGTTCTCACCATTGACTCGATTACAGAGACTAGTGCTGTCAAATAATTTAATTGAAGTGGTTGAAGATCGTGCATTCTCTGAGCTACGGTCACTTGTATTCCTGTAAGACTTTATAAAAACTATTAAAAATGACAATGCTATTTATTATGAGCAGTTATCTTCGGACTAATCGGTTGCAAATTATCACAGAGAAAACTTTTCATGGGCTTTTTAATATGCAACAACTGTGAGTCATATATTTATATATACCAGCACATTTATTAGCTTTCCACCATACCATCCACAATAATTTTTTTGTCTTTGTTATTGATTGTGAACCTTCAGTTTTAATGTAAAATGTTTGTAGGATTATGTATGATAATTTGATTACATCAATACCGGGAAATGCTTTTAGACAAGCAGTAAACTTGAGAAGATTGTGAGTTAAATATTTTACTTTGTCATTTATTTTATTCATACT